TGGGACACATTTCTGTAGAAAATAACTTACTGGTGTATTAACACATGAGTAAAACTGTGCAAGTTAAGCAGTTGACTTCAGCTTTTTTTTCCAAAGCCAAATTTTAGCCCGGGTCAAGTCTGCTCGGTCGAATGCGTTGCAGCAGGTTTGCTCCCTCTGAGAAATTCCTCCTAACAACCCCGGGTGAACCAGTCGCAACCTGTCGCCTCGGTCCACCGGAATACTCGACAACCAACGGCGACGTGTTCTAAAATAACCCGATCGCCTTTTGTCGCCGAACGGAGACGACGCGAGGTAAGCGTCACCGGCGAGTCACGGCCGCCGCCGACCGAGCATCGCGTCATCGACATCACAGGGACTTCCTGCCTGATGATTACTGGGTTGGTCGGCTCGACAAGGAGAGACCTGCCAATTACAGACGCGAGAATGTATGCGCTTCGTCACCCGAGTGCTGCCAGATCCAAAACTGAGATACCCAACACCGTTCCTGGAGCTGAATTAGCCTGCCGCGCTCACTCCTGCCATCTGTTTACGTATCTGAAAAAGCTCGGCCACAGATCACGGTTGACCCGATTTCCCATTTAACGCAGCGAGGTTCATGGCATCAAAATCACAACGGTGTGCTTTCAAGATTCAGAAACACATCTTCGGCATTTTGAAAACAACGGCGGCAATAGCTTGTGAGAATCGGCATCATTAGCAGAGCTGTCTAGGTTAAGACAACCTGACTGGCCGAATCACACAAAGGGATCAAATCAAGACCGTCTAGAATCCAGGCCATGAATAATTGAGGTGCACCTTAATGTATTCAGCAAAAATGTTAGAAATGCACCAGTGACTCTCAACGAGCCCCTCATTTAGCAAACAAAGGCTTCCTATCACGAGGCAGGAAAAGCCTCGATACTGATAAAGAAACGCAGTTAAGAGAGCGTCAACACTCCTGAAAAACGGCGGAATTTTCCCTGCTCTGCGCTAACCTCATGCTTCAATCCTTCCAAATCATCAAGTCTGAATCTTGAAAGTGCTTCCAAAGACACTCCGACACCGACGTCAGCATCAAAGCATGCAATTCTCCAGAGAATTGGGGTCTGGCGCTTGTTTATTGGAGGCACAAAACAGGTGAGCGCAAGATGGGAGATGTGAACATTTCGCCTAGTGTCGGGATGCTTCACAATAACTCACGAGGGCTAATTACAAGGTTGAGCGCGGCCGCCAGCTGGATAGAAATGCAAGATTCCTGGTGGGGATGAGGCCAAAGACGGCAGGGTGGGAAACTTCTCAAGATGACACAGAGAGCTGTCAGGTAGAGCAAGTCACGGCAGGCTGCTTGACGTAAAGAATCGCTTGCACTATGCATTCAATAAAATGAGCAGCAATGTATCATTGACTCAAAACTGTCATCAAAGGCTGAATAGGATTTTTTTTTTTTTTTTTTAATCGATACGCAACGAGTTCTCCGTTTGGCTGAGCTTTTCACTCCTTGACTATTTTCTGTCATCTGAAATGAATTAGATGACGGTCAATTTCCCTGAGTCATCTGTCCGAGAACCCCAAGAACGGGTGGTCGTCCCCACCGCCCGCACGGACACAACACGGCCCGCCACATGCGGCCGTTCCATGGCAACGCCGGTCGCCAGCCTGACTCATTTTCGCGCTGCCGCTGCCGAGCTCTGCCAAACGCTTTCCCTCTCACCCTCGGTTATGCAACTCCCACTCTTGTACATGCAAATCCGCCAACACATGCTGCTCGAGTCGTGGTCGCCATGGCGACCGCTCCCGATAAAGTCACAGACTTGGGGATGGGGAACTGAGCCGCCCAATCGGGCGAGAAAAGCAAAAGTTCAGGTGTGGGTCAATGTGGAGCTTTTGCTGGCAGAGGCCACAACAAGTCCTGGTTACCTCCACGCTAATTGGCTTGATGGAGCTCAGCGGTGTGGGGACAGTCCAGAGAGGGGGTGGGAGGTGGGGTTTAGGTGACAGCTGAGGAATGTCTGCGCCGCTCGCTCTTTGCCATGGTTTCCAAATACTGTCATGCGAGGAATGCGGAGGCCGAGGCGACGGCGCTCGGAATGCTACGGTCCCGCGACCAGTTTAGCAAAGAGGACACCGTAGAACATTGCTTGCGGAGGATGTGCTTTTCGCTTTTCTTTTTTTTTCTTTTTTTAACGCCCACCTCAACCTGCGCGCCTCATTGTTGTTTGCATCTGAAACTACCAGCACGGAGACAAAAATGCACCTACGGGCATTGGTGGGCCATAAATTTTATACCTGGCCTTCAGAGGCCATTTAATGCACCTCTTAAAACAACTTCTACCAGCAATATTAGAAGCCATCAATGGTCAACAAAAACAGGGACAGAAAAGCGCGCAAGTGTGTCATGTACGTCATGTGAAATAACGATCAATCTTTAATCTCATAAGTCAAAACTGATTCAAAAGAAAAACAACAAAAGACACTGCTCAGTAAATGTACTATCACTGTGAGGGCCGGTTAGTGGTGGGCATGTCATACCGTCAGTCTTCATTCCGTCAATATTTCAAGTCCGTCTGTTGGCATCGAGAACGTACTTACGATGTTCAAGGCAGGCACGCGCACACGTGAGTTGAAAAAAGCAAAACAGCGTTGTATGCCAATCGGTCCCAGAGACTGCAATGACACTGTCCCATGTGTTTAATTTCATCAATCACCATGCTGTATGCGTGTACACGTGTGTGTCCCGCAGCCCACTGAAATCATGAGGGAACGGTGACTGATGGACTTCGGTGCCCACCGCTGGTGAGGGCAAATTTGAGATGTGATTGGCTGGAGCTTTAGTTACATGGGCCTGCACTATTGATTCTGAATTCCTGACCTGGACCTAGCAACACACACAGCCTGAAATTTGATTGGACAAGGAAAAAAAAAGAAGAACTCAACAATCCACAAACATGTACTAGAAGCAGTGAAGCGAAGAGAAACACGAGCAAATGAAGAGAGTAGAATAATTAAATCTTAGAAGTTGTTTCTGATAGTCCTGACGGCCAAGGGCTGCCTACGGTGGCCATTGCACCAGCGTGACAGGGGGCTGGTGACTCCTTTCCATTGCCAGATTATGCCAGGCCCTCCACTGCAAAGCGTGGCCACCGACTGAGTCACAGCCAAAGTTAGCATCATCTCTTGAAATACAGTCGGGAGAACTTGCTGCCGCGATATTTATAACCCTATGCCGGTCAACGGTTTTCGGGAACAATATGCCGTTTACCTCCCCCACCCCGGAGCGATGCACCAGGCCTTTCTCACCAATGTGACAAACACACGGCCACGCACTTTTACATGAAAATCATGTCGCCGTCATCATCTTGACTTTTGGAATTTGTGGGCCAATGTGCACATTGCCGTGGTGCCACCTTCGCTCCTTAAAAAGCCCACCCTGCAAACAACACATATACACACACCACTGCTTCTCTTCTCCAGAGATGGGTATGTCCCTGGGGCAGCGCTCTCTTGCGGGTCGTCATCTCCCCCCAAAAAAAGGCAACGGTAATCTTTGCGCAAAGAGAGGGGGGAGGGAGGTATTAATTGTACATTTTAACCAAGGTGAAAATGACAGAGAGATACTTGTGAATGTTGACAAAGGTTCGTACATGACGACACACGGGCTTAGTAGTCAAGTCGGTAGAAGGTTATATCACTTCATATTCATGCACGAGTTACAAGTTTAAAACCAAAATTCTTGCATTGATCACCAGAGACTATTTTAGCACCTGGACAAATGCTCTAAAATGTCAACAACAAAGCTGCAGTGATCAAGACTATTGCTAAAAATAACCCAAGTGGAGTGGAGGCCATCAGAAACACAACAATGGACTGTGATAAATGCTGTGCCAGCACAAATTGCACAAGTTAATGAAACTTCAAATGCGTACACATACACCGAGTCACTTACGAGGCTCTCGATTGTGACACAGCGTCTGTTAACAAGTTCAGATCTGCCATCTTTTAACACATGGTACACAAATGTGATATTTGATCATGTTAGGATAAAGAAGACGAGTAAATGCTGACACTCTTCAGGCCGAAGAGCTGCCATCTCATCATTTGACTGTAGGAGCAGCTACCCCCGCTAGCGGGGGGAGAAAGCTAGCTCGGGAATGCTGACATGTCAGGGGATAGAAAAGCACACGTTCACACTTGAAAAGGTCATTAAATATCAGTTTTTTTGGAGGGGGGGTACCTATTGACTTGACGCTTCTTTCTAGTTATTCCAAAGACAAATCCAAATTAAACGAACGATGGTGGCTAACCGGAGCTACTTACTTGAGCTAACGTAGCATTGGCATTAACCGGCTAACCTAGCCATAATTTACCATGAAACCAAATACAAGATTGCTGAATATTTTAATAATACTAGCAAGACAACAAATCAAGTATTGGGCAACACAAGCGTGCGATCGGAACAATACATACTCGCCTACTAGCCAGTGTTGCTAATGGAGGCTTTATCAACAAACCGAATTTAGCTGCTAGCATTTAGCCACCGTACGCTAATTTCCACTTTGTAAAACAAAACCAGTCTCAATCGGTGACAACACCAGCCATAGTAACACAACCGCATCTCGTATTCACACGTGGAAAAAAAGAACAAAACAAGTTGACAGATCGCACCGAGGCGCCACAGTCGCTGCATTGCCAGCAATTAGACTTCGCCCACCGAGTCGGGCTATCGCCTGTAGTGTGTTGACGGCCATTGAGTACAGTAGCCCCCAAAAGGCAAAAGGCAAAAAACAACAACAACACGCAGAGCCGTTACCTCTGCGACGTACACACGAGTAAAAATGCAACTAATACTGTGTGAAGTTGATCACACGAGTACCCCCAGCAGGGCAATGTGAACGGCTGGTCTCCGGTGTTCCAACTCCAAGTAGGTAAACAACGGGAGAATAGCTTCCACTTGACAGGTGTTCAATGGACAATCGTGGCGATCGCGGCCGGGCCCGGTTCGGGGTTGCGGGTCCACCAACCTGGTGGAGGGCGGTGAGCCCGTCGACGTTGGCGTAGTTGATGTCGGCGCCGCGGTCGAGCATTCGCAGCACCTCCTCCGTGTCGCCGCTGGAGCAGGCGGCCAGGAACACGGCGCCATCGTCGAACTTCACCTTCGTCTTCTTCTTCTTCAGGATCGGCGGCTCCAGGTCCGTCTCGGAGCCCAGCCACCGCTTCAACTGCTCGTTCCTCTTCTGCTTGGCGTCCGCCATCTTCATCCCCCTCCTGTCTCGGGCTTCTTATCTTCCTCCGAGAGAGGATATACTTTATACTGGCACTATCCCACAACTCACTGGGGCGTGGGAAGGGAGGGCTGCGAGCAGCGAAGGAGCTGGAGGGCGTACCCGGGGAGGAGGAAGAGGAGGAGGAGGAGGTGGGGCGATCGGAGATCGGCGTCAGCGCGAGAAGAGGCCGGCTGGATTGTTAACTCGTAGTCTCGCGAGATAGCCACGATGGAGGGGCTGCAGTGTGACGTCACTTTCTGTGGATGTGAGAGAGCGAGTGAGAGAGGGAGCGAGAGAGAGAGAGAGAGACGGGTAATCCCTTATAGACAGTAACTGTGTACACCAAATTAGCAGAGTTTGAAAATATTACACAACAGCCAGGAGGCACCGTTATGACATCCTTTCGACAACTATAAATATGCATGGGATAGATGAATTGCATGCCTGCCTCCATTGTGACGTTTTGTTTTTTTTGCTTAAAAATCCGCTAAATAAACTCGGTTGCTAACCAAAAATAGCAGCCCCCACCAAGGCACATGAACAGACCGTGGGGTGACCTGTGCAGCATTCAAAATATTAAGGAGACAAGTTGCATTCCAGCAGAGTCTGACGTTGGGTGTTGTCTGTGTTTATGTTATTAATTCATAATCGACGCCCCGCCCCATCCACAGTAAAGACCCGCCGCGGCTTTGTGTCGTATTAGCAGTGCAGATAAGTCTGTCACCTATCTGTCATCCTTTCCACACAATTGTCACTGTCTCCTGCAGTCGGCATGATATTTCTCTCTCTCTGAGGGCATCCAGAACATGAAAGCCGAGCCCGGGGTCTATCTTCCCGATAGCAGCCTTGCACATCCCCGAGGCGCCAACCGCAGGCTGGGGGTGACACGGGGAGCATGGGAGCACTTGAAACTCACGATCTGTCTCCCTCCCTGAGTGCCGGGGCAGCCCCTAAATGGAATCAGGAGCACTTGGGCTCGTTCGGACCGGGTAAGATTGGTGCCATGCGGTTGCGACAAAAGGCCGCTATCAATGCCAGGCACCGCCGTGGGGGTGGGGCCTCCGAACTGACTTACAAGTGATCTCAGCGCCCTGATGCCTCTGACCGTGGTTTCCTGAAAGTGACGCTGCTAATAGAACAGCAGTCGAGTTGTGTCCATTCAGGTACTGAGTCATTGTTGGAGCTTTTGAGACTTGTTCATTCAAAATATCTAATTTAACCCAAAAACCTGTGGACAATAAAACCATGTTTAAAAAAAAATAGTCGCATTAAGCCACTTATGACACAAATAGTAGTTAGCAGAACAATGTGTGGCACATGCAAAAATAATGCACATGCAAATAAAAAAAAGAAGAAAGAAAAAAAAGGAAGAAATCAGCATTACATTGGATTGTTGGTCCCATTTGTACCTGTTACGTTCCCAAACTGTCAGAGTCAAATATGAGGGGTACAAAAGCAGAAGGCAATTGCATGCCATGAGCACAGTGACAGTTAGGCCAAAGAGGAAGTACCTTGAGAATGCGTGAGGTTGCGAATGCAACACTGCTTCCTGAAATAAGACGTTGTCCCTTCAAGAGACAAACACAAAAGTCACAACACATGTACAGAACTCAAATGTTTGAGAACTCCTGCTATCTTCTTTCCAGTCTACTCATCATCTCCAAAAATCATACCAGCACTGACTATGCAGTTTCCATGACAACCAGCTCTCTTACATTCTAAATAAAGGTCCAGCTCCCACTGGAAAGAAAGCTCAATTTCAAGTCTTTCTTGCACTCAGTCATGTTTGCGGCCCACCCCTCGGACCTGCATCCAAGATGAGATTTGCGTGGGAGTGAGGAGGAGGTGAGCAAACAGAGGATGGCGGAGGAAGATTGAAAAGAAGGCAGCGTAAATCTTTTCAAACAACTACTTTTTGGGATCTTACATTTTCATCCTTGAATTTGTATGGTGATTTTTCATATCGTTTAAAAGCTGACCTGTTTTCTGAGTTGAGTCATGTGACATTAGTAAGCTGATTGGTCATTACCTGAACCCTGAGCAACTGTGATCCGCATTGAATATACTAAGGTGAAGAACATTTTTACTTGACTTCGCCTTGAAAGTGGGATCGTATGGTGCCGCAATTTTGTTACATTATCCACAGCAAATATTGCACATTTATCCAGATCGGCACCAAGGAAGAGGAAGGGGAGGAAGAGGAAGGGGAGGAAGAGGAGGAGGCCGTGGGGTGCTAAAAATAGCCAGGCTACATATATGTCCATAAAGTGTGCGCCGAGCATTCCCCTGATAACGGCAGATGGCTTGTGGATAACACACACACACACACACACACACACACACACACACACACACACACACACGCACGCACGCACGCACGCACGCACGCACGCACGCACGCACGCACACA